CAGTTTGGAGGGTTACTGAGCACATGGACTTATTGGGCCAAAAGCCCATTTCGAACTGGTCTAATATGATTAGTTAAACAAGGGCGAATCTGGGATTTGGATCAGTAGACTGCGCCATCTTCTGCTCTTGCACCCTCCTCCTACTGCCGCCATTGCCAGTTCGATCTCCATTCTTGTAGGAGCGATCAAGAAATGTTATTGATATCAGTCTTTGGGGAAAGACTGATCTGAAGTCGTGCTCACAGCCTCCATCGAGTTCTTGCTGAAGGATTCGGTTCTTAGGAAGAACATTGTTGATTCTGCTCTACCCTATACTGTGTCATCTTCAGTGGGAGCAATCTTTGGAGATTTCTTTGGACGTGAACACCTTCATTGGGAGTTACTGCTACTCTGTATCAGGTATATCCCTCTCCCACCTTTTGGTTTCAGATCTGGTTCGGTTTAAGTTCAAGATTGATCCTTAAAAATGTAGATTTTCTAAAACAGGGAATGTGATTCCCACATGGGAGAGAGAAATTTTTGAAACTTTGCCCTACCCACCTGCAGGGTTCGGCTATCCATATGATGGATCTCTCATCCCTTCAAATTATCCCCCCTGAAGCTCCCCAAGAGGGAATATTACAATTTCAGTAATGGTATCTTGAAGACTTAATGGTATCCTGAAGAAATACATGTATCACAATTTCAGTAAAAATAGTGGCAAAAATGTTGGCACAGTTAAAAATTAATGATCATGAGATACCCCAAACCGTTTACTATACCATGAAGGCATGAACCAATCATCCATAAGAACGAGAAATTGAAGGGGATACATCGCATAGAATTAGATCAAGGTAGTTGAGGTTGAGAGGTACATCTGTTGTGTTGTGTGACTGGCATAAGGAAAATTTTAGAGGAGAGATGCATCTTAGCCATCCAAACAGAAAAAGCAAGGTTAAAACACCAAGATGTTGAACATTTATACATTGTCCATCCAATAGACAGCCTGGTGAATAAATAGTGCAAAAATTTAAAAATGGACCCTGTATTCAGTTTCCAGTGAAGAAAAACTTTGTCCCATAAGGACATACTAGTTGCATTGCATGGGCCAAATCCTAAGACGCATTGTCTAGAAAAATGAAATTAATTCTAATATTTTCCTTTCTAAGCCTTACAAATCCATCTTACACCAAAAGTATTGAATATTGTATGTGAGAGCCACTTGTACTGACAGTTTTGGACCCATGCAATATGGCACAATCTTCCAGCTTTATGGTGTATGATGCATTTGTCACACACAAGAGAAATCAAATTTGTATGCTTAACATTTCACTAATATCTCATATCTCCATTTTAGGCAACACTTAAACAGTTGTAGCATCCTATAGCAGGGAATCAAAACCCAATGTCAATAAATCACCATTAAAAATGTGTATATACATACAACATTAACATTTAAGTCATTCATTTGTAGTCCTTGTTGTAGTAAAATATAATTTAAATAAAAAAATTAAAACAAAAGTTTATCCCTGTTAGTCAATAAAACCACACTTTGGATTAAGAGTGTTAAAACTGATCACCTTACAATTTTCAACCTCTGATAGCCATTTTGTGAGTTGTGCAGCAAGGGAACAATAATCTCCTGGATTCTTCAAAATTGTATAGCAAAAGGCTGGGTCCTTCAACTCATATGTTATCTCTCCACTAGACTAAGTTTTTTCCCACGAAATAGAAATACACAGCATGAGTCAACTACAACAGTAATGACTAATGAAATCATTTATTTATACAAATTAACACTGATACAATTAAACATGAAATGGAAAACAGCAACAAGCTAATTGTCATAATTTGCACATTCCAATTACTTCATAAAAGGAATAATATGAAAAAAGAACTGCAGAACCCTCAAAGCAGACATATGAAGCAGCATTTACATTGATAATGAGATCTAACATGTAGCAATATTAAACGGAACTTTAAGAAAAGCACAAAGAAACAAAAAAAAAGTACAATGGATATTCTCCACATATTTGAAATTTTGAAATAAATAATTGGGCTTGGAGATTCCACAATATCAGATAATCTCCAAACAAAAAGTTGCCAGACCTCCCAATTTTGAATCCCCAACTTGATAAGAACAAATAAACCACATTCCATGTAATGAAAATATATCAAAAGTTGATGATCAAAGATTTCCAGTCCAACATTTTATAAACTCTTGCAAGTTGCAATTATCTACCAACTCCTGGCAATAACAGAGATTGCAGGTTCATCCCCTTTTCCGATATTTCAATTCCTATAAAAACTTTTGATTAAATGAAGTTGATTATACACACACTGTATAAAAAAGACCAAAAGGCAACACCACTATCAGATAGACCTGGAAAACTAGTGGTGGTATGTTTTGTCCAAGTCTTACTCAGCTGCCAATTGTTATCTTTGACAAATTTCAATATCAGCATTGTCACTTGAAGTACCTAACTGACATGGCATGTACCTCAGCCATGTAAATTTGTAGGAATTCACTTCTATAATAATCAGTATCTGTGATTTTGGTTCATTTTTTAAGCTAACCACTTAGAACCAAGCTCTAGCTCAAGTGCAATATATAGCTTGGTCTTGCTATTAAAGCTCCTACTTCTCTCCGATCCAACAATCCTCCACCCAAAACATAGTAAAATATTGCTCTTGCATTGCAAGATGATGAAAGCACATCATCAACATGTGACAGAAATATGGAAGACACCATTTACAAAAGATAAGGTGGCAAATAGATAAATCATCACAGTTATTCATGCATGGCTGGTACTTGATCCACCATACCTTCAATTTTTGCAAATGATTTGAGAGGTTGGCTATTGTCATCCCAGTGCTATTTGCCACAGTAGGCATGTCAAAAATATAATACCCCTGTTTGGTTTCAGACCTGAAAAACATCATTGAGTTATATGTTAACTTTACAAGTGCAAGTACATGTATTTATTCATGCCATTGAATTAAAAAGTTGAAAATATACAACCCACTTCTTCAGAATCGCTGCAACCAATATATCCTTGACAGCAAGCAAATCTGGAGATGTCTGCAGCATCACAAATTTCTACAATCTTAACACATTAAGTAGGTAAAATAAAGACTTGACACTGGACCATTGGTGGCCATATCAGGTATACTGACAAAAAATAGGTGGTGACAGACCCGATCCCCATGCAATACTATGAGTAACTGAAGTGAACCATATCAATAGCAGATTCACGTGACATGCAATCTACAATTTCTTGCCATCACACCATACCTTGATTGCAGTTACCAGTAAAACCCTAAAACTTATGTCCCAGAAACTACAAGGCATAAAGAACAATAGTGACATTTGAGCATATAAGATCAACAGAATAAATTTGCAAAGATTACTCACTTTATGGAAATACAAAGTGCAGGTCACGTTTAGCTGTGGAAGTAGGTTCAAGTACTGTACTTCACCCAACTCCAGGTATGTTAGAAGTGTCAGCATAACCTGCCACCCAGTCAATCAATAAAATGCCTTCTTCACATATCAATACATGCCAAAGAAAACCCAATATAGAACAATAAAAATATTATGCAATAACCTTTTCTTGGTTAGAAAACATGCATAACTATTGATGATTCTTTCTACCACTAATGCAAGTATTTCACATAAAACAAGCACATTAAACGCCATTTCAGAGACAGGTAAAGGGGATATCCTAGATTCACTCTCAATTGTTTATGCAAACACCAAAATCACCAGCTGATGCAATCTATATGACATCTAACCAGACAATAAGACCCCACCTGCAGCACACAACATATCAATATGGACAAAAGGCTTGACTTCAAGGAAGCTGTGTCCTTGATGCTCAGGTAATTAACCTAGTTTTTTATAAGCAGTTAGGTTGGGACCACCAAAAGGGGTTTTTGTTCCTTGAGACTGACTTCTTTAACTTGTTTGTAGAGAGCTGAGAAAGAGCTAGTAGGCTCTGCAGTTAGGATTTACAGATGGCATGACTATTTGCAAAGGACCATAGCATGTGTAGATAAAGCATCCAATGGATCAAAGGAAGAATACCAGAGGGATTAGTTATACTGAATCATTAATACAAGTGTAGCTGTATAGGGCACAAGCAAAGAAACCTCTTCTTTCATGTCAAATTTCCTGGATGCAGATTCTTTGACCAAGGAGCAAACTTTTCCAGTAGAACCCATGTTGCTGCTGAAAACTTGAGATAGGAATCTGTTTACTGCATATTCATCTACACCATCACTGACAACATATGATAGTAAGCAGGTTATACACATTTTACACACAAAACAAACAAACAAACAAAAAAAAAAAAAGAGAATGAAATGGAGTGAAAGATACTAGTAATCATACAAAGAGAAGCTGAGAAAAAAATTAGCACCTGTATAAAAGACTGCGTAGCTTGAAATAAGTTGTTTCATCAAAAAGGAGATGACAATAGGACAACCTTCCATCCCGTCCAGCACGTCCAATCTCCTACATTAATACATATAATCTGTTACTATTAACCTGGTTATAAATTTCTAAAAGTACCTCATTTCTTGTTCTTTTTATTTATTTATTTATTTATTTTTTGTGAAATAGTACAATACAAAGAGAGAACGATACTAGAAAGGAAGCACCCAAAAGAAACCTTCTTAGAATGCAAACATAACAAAGTCTTAGGTTAAAGACAAATAGGAGAAATCAGAAAATGTTCTTCTCAGCAAGGGGAAAAAAAGAAATAAAACCAAAGGATTTTAGTTTTTGCTAAAAATATTTTTAAGAATGTCTAAATATTACACAATATAATTAACCGTATGAAAATCACAGTACAAGGAAGGCTAACTATTTTACATGTCCTGTCATCATCATTATCATCATTATCATATGGGGTTGACTACAGGAATCCTGTTCTGCCATTTTGCTCTATTTAGTGCTACATCCATTGTTAAACTATGGGCCCATAAATCATTTCTTACTACTTCAACCCATGTCCTTTTTGGTCTGCCCCTGGCTCATCTACCCCTTCAGCTTGTAACAGATCACTTATTCTTATTGGTGTCATAGATGGTCTTCTCTGTACGTAACCCAAACCATCTTAGTATAATTTCCCTCATTTTATTACCTATTGGAGTTACTCTTAGGTTCCTTTGAATACCATCCTTTCTAGTTTCCCACTCATCCATCTCAACATTCACATTTTTGCCACACTCATTGTTTGGACTACATGCTTTAATATCGGTTTGGTGCTCTTGTTCTTACTATCTTCAGATTATTTTCTGCTTGGAGTTGGTATTTCTCTTTTATAGATTTTTTTTTTTTTTTGCTTTGTTAATAGTACTTAAAAGGTCATTATCCAGAGTTGGTCCCAATCTGGGGTTTTGAGAGGGGAAGTCTGGGTACGGACCCAAGCTTTGTCACTTTTTTGCACAAAGTGGATGCTCTCGGACTTCAACCCACATTCTCATACTTATCAGCCCGAGATTTTACCATTAAACCAAGCAATGGCTCAATAATAGCACTCAAATATAAACAGTAAATATAATATGAATTAAAAAAAATTGGGCATATCCCATTTTTGAAAAAACCAGGCACAACCTTAGAGAAATGAAAAAGAAACCACTTTTTGTAATGATCAACATCAATACAAAGAGGCTTCTTTGTCTTTTAAAACTTGAACTGTGTTACCACTGATTAGGGGTGTGCCCCCTTTATCAAAAATGGGATGTTCCCAAACCACTCCCCTGAAAGAATAGCTGAATTCAAAAATATTTGGTTATGTTTTCTATTAATTGTTTCATTCTAGAATTCATTTACTTATTGAGGAAAAATAAATCAAGAATAGGTGCTAATAAATCAGATCATTGGAAGCCTAAGAGAATTGTTGAGCATCAATCCGCACTTCAAAGAAGGCAGGGATCTGCTATCAACAAAACGCTCCCAACAGGCCACTGCAACTGTACATTGGGAACATCTCCCTTGTCATTCATGGGGAGATGTTCCCAATGTGCGGCTGCAGTGGCCAGTTGGGACATGTTGAAAGCATATTGTTGGTAGCAGATCTGAACTCCTTCAAGGATGACCATTATCTTCTTTTTTTAATGTTGACTCTTTTTTGGGGGCTCTTAATGGTGTTCATATGTACAGAACCTTTTTATACAGTGAACTATCACACTTCTATATTTTTTTACTATATAAATGCAATTTTATCTTACCTTTAAAAAAAAAAAAAAAAACTGAGCCTGACCAAATCAGAATCCAACCAGACATAATCAGATGATTCAGATCAACCTGGATATGATAACCACGTAATCATATCAAATCTGGATAGGGTTAGTGCTACGAATCTGACTTGTTTATAGCCCTAGACATTAAATGGAAGTTTATCCTCAATGAATATTATTCAATTCCCTGATGTTTTGTTCTAGACTGTTAGTCATCCAAAAAAAGTTTTATTCTAGATTTCCATTTTTTTAGAATTTTCCACAATGTTTTCCTGATTTAATTTGTGAATGCCATTCCAATGGGTTTCTGAAGTTTGCACCAGAACTGAAATCAGAACTTTCTTCTTATCATACATAGACACATGGAATCAAGTAGGATAGAAAGCTCTTGGAGGCAACCTCTCATCCTCAATCAACTTCAAATGGTATTGTCATCTATAAAGCATAAATATCTCATTTTTTATAGATAACTAAAATTTCATTAGAAATGAAAAAGATTGTAGTGTAGCATATATAAAACCTTTAGTCCCTCAACATTAGGCAAGCCCCTGTTGCCTTAGCCCAACCTCTTTTACTTACTACTCCATTACAACTGATTGTCACTTAGCTGTCCCCAAAATAGCTGATATCCATTAATCCCTTGTCTTGATAATGCATCATCCAACCAGACGGCTGATCTATGGACCTAATTACAGTTAATAATTCCTCCCCCTTCCTAACTCTTGCATTTCCCTCATAGCATTTCAGAAATTCAGTGTTGCCGCATGACTCTACTATTATTGTTCCTTAGCTAACCTATCTCATCTGGTTACAAGGATGGAAAACAAGAATAATGCCTATGGATAGGTTCTGTTAAATTAACATATAACACTAACAACATAGTGGTCTCTTTCCTCCTGTTATAATTGTTTCTTCTAGAAGGATCCTTAACAAAAAAAGGATGGAAAATAAGAATGAGATTACCCATTCTCAAGGCTTCAATGTTCAATCTCAACCAGTTTTCTGGGTTTTCAGGGCTATTGTGCATACATGTTTTGCACTTTTCTCTTTGTTCTTGTAAGTTGTAATCTTCGCTTTGATTTGAAATTAAGTTTGTATTGTATCCAAACAAAAGCACAAACCGGAATTCCCAGTGCTTTGGATATTACTATTATAATCACCTGAACATATTCTTCCACACTTTCTGGCAAGCTATAATGAATGACCTGCGAAGTAAAAGCACAGTTCAGAAAACTGGAATATTCTTGCTACATATAATAATGCACTGAATGCCACAATTCAATTTTTTTATAGGTTACCAAATGCAAATATATGTGATAGTGAATTATTAAACAGAGAGATCAAACACAACATATGCATAAACATAATCCATCCAAAAACAAATATGCATAAACATACTATTATACATGAATGTACATCAGTTGAGCTATGGTATCAACAATAGTCCATGAATATTATCCACATCTTTAATATGAACTGTGATCCATAAACCAGATTCGAAGGGTCCACCTGAATGATCACCTATACAATTTCACCGTTTCATGTTGATAGACAATGAAAAAGATAACTTTTTAAAGAAACAAGGGAAAATTATTAATAAATAGTCAGTTGATAGATAATTCATTGCCAATGATATGAGCCATCTTTTCATAGTATAGGCAAGCCTCAAGGAATGAGGCTGAGCTTTAGCAAGAATATGTATCACTGACAGGCACACATAGTAGGTGGGTCCCTGTCTGTAAGCCCCACCGCACAATATTCCAGCTATTTTCTGCAAGATGGGTCTATAATCTTTAGCATTGCTCTTCAGATGAGAATCCAAAGGAACATGTATCACTGACAGGCATAAATTCATACATAGATGATCCAAGGTTGGAACCATTGAGTGCATGTTTGGTTGGAGAAATCGATTTATCAAAATTGTTTCCTCAAGAATCGGCAATTTTGAGGGGTTTGGGGAATCACTTATTTGTCAAGAACATGTATTTCCTAAAAGTAATGCTAATGAAGTGATTTATCAAAAAAAAAAAACATGCAACCGTCACAACATTTTTATTGAAAGGCAACTTTTACAACATTATTGGCCTGGAGTCACTGCAATGTCAGAAATCAATTTGAAAATTATCGGTATGGCAATCAATTTGAAACTCAACCAGTACTGGTATGACAATTATTGGCTTCAGATATACCTGGGTGGCACCCTAAGATTTATTCAAGAGTTAGCATGACAAATGATTCTGACAAAATTAAATAATAAGCATGGTTTGTTCATACAGCTCCTACATCACCCTTGTCAAGCCCCATTCCAAATGCCACAGTTGCCACAACCTACCATCATCAAAGGAGACAAGGAAAATATAATTAGAATAAACATACACACAGAGGTGATATGCAATCACACTAGTAATTTGTGTTCAATTATGTAGAAAAATTTCCCAATTAATAGCTGAAATAATGTCATTAGTCCTTACAACTCTTATTTTGTTGGAACAGAACATTTCTTGTGTACGGATCCTCTCCTTTGCTGAGATACCACTGTGGTAGCTCTGCAGAGCAATGAACTCACTTCATATCATTTAACTATCCAGAACAAGAACTATTGTGCATCCAATAAAAAGTAAGCAATAAATTTAATATAACATGCAGCTTCAAAATGAAATTCTAACCTTAGCAAAGATATTGTTGTCACAAAGGTGTTTACTAAGTAGATCAGTTTCAGACTGCCAAAAAAAGAAAAGAAAGAATACACGGACAGAAGTTAGTCCTACAGCTACCTAATAATTAAAAAAAAATGTACATATGTGCCTTTTTTTATTTAAATTTATGCTATGTCTTCTCTTAGTGTTACAAAGCATTCAAACGTTTATGCTATAAAATATTCAAAACTCATACATAAGCAATTTGGAAAGGTAAATATTCCATTGTCTCAGACCATCAATAGATATAATTAGCAAAAAAACATCATTAAAAGATATTTAAGTAGTATCCGGAAAGCAGACGAATCAGTGAGCAGGAAGTTTACCCCAGCCTTGCTGTCTGACCAGTTTTTTGGTAATCATACAGGTTCTGGACTATGGTATTTCCATTTTATCCTTGGCACTAAGGCTTAACTACTTAACTAGAAAGTGCAGTTTTTTATTATTATCTCTTGAAAATGGTAAATCTACCCTTCCCTCTCCACCATAATCTCTCTTGCACAATCCCAATCAACTGAGCTTAGTTCTAGGCAAACCTGAAATTTACAGTAGATAATGATACTCCGAACTTCGGCCAGAAGAGCAGACTTTATCAACATCATCAAATCTTTCATCCTACAAAGTTTAACTCAATGACAATCATCAATAAATTAATCAAGCACCAAAGTGGTGCAATTGAATAAATAAGTGAACTTCAACAATAAACTAAGAAAAATAAAGCTACTTGCCTATTTCCACTCAAAGTTATGGACAACTGTAAATTTTCTCTTATCTGAGATGTCTGAATGAGACTGGTTGGAGGAATTTCTAGAGCACTCATAACAGCATGCAAAGTTTTACAAGTTGCTGTTGCAGTCATTGCAAGAATGCACTTAACACTGAGCTTGGCCTGAAGTAATGACGCCCTAAGCCTCAGATATGATGGTCGAAAATTATGAGACCTATTAATTTGTTCCAAAAACATGATAAGCTTAAGCAAGAAAATGTGCAAAAGAGAATTACTGTTGGCAAAGAGCAATAATATCACAGGCCTTCTCTGTCATGGAAATGCCAAACCACAAGAGACAAATCACGAATAGAAATTTTTGTGCAAATACAAGAGGTTATAGGGTGTTACATCTTGGCCCATGACAGCCAGGACTGTGATGCTAGCATCTTCCATGGCTAAAACTACAAGGAAAATTCCTCCAGACTAAAACGTTTGACAAATTCAAAACTAAAAGACATGAAAGAGAAAAGTCAAAGAAGTAACGCAACCACGCAACCACTCACCACTCAGAAATGCAGTGAGCTTCATCTACCACCACAAGTGATACAAGTAGAGTAGTCCCAAAAATTGATACAAATTCTGCATTTAGAAACCTCTCAGGAGAAACAAAAAGAACCTGATACATAAAACACGTATACATTAACAATTGGTTGTAATTGCCAGGGATGAAAAAAATCAGATATCATCATTAAAACCTTGTCCATTTCTGAGTTTATCTAGAACACAAATCAAGACAAGCACATATAAACTCTATGAGAGCGTAACTGCATTGAAAGGCAACCTAGAAACTTGTGTCCAATTACATGAAAATTATAAGACATATCGTCCTATTATGTGCTCCTATACACAAAGTGCACATACAACCTTAATGCGTCCTTCCCGAAGCTGCTGTAGTGTTTCAGAAGTCACTTCACTTGACTGAAACAAAAATGCAGTATCAATACAAACATCTTCAAAGACCAGCATTAGATAGTAATAAGGGGAGAAGCAATGATTTGCCAACCACCTGACTGCTACATAGGAGGGCACCCTGAACCATTGAAGGTAACTGCTTTAGTTGATCGACCATCAAAGCTACCAGTGGACTCACAACAAGAGTTAACCCAGGTAAAATCAGTGCGGGCAACTGATAGCACAGTGATTTTCCGGCCCCAGTTGGCAAAACCAGCATTGTTGATTGACCTGCAATCACCTGCTTGATTGCCTCCAGCTGTCCCTCGCGGAAGGAATCATAACCATGGGTTAGCTTCAACAGCTTCCTAAGGTTCTCATCCGATGGTTCATCTCGAGCATCTGAGACGGCTTGTTCAATTAATTCGTAACTGAACCGCCCGTGCTTGCACTGCTCCTGCTTCTGTCTTAGAGTCTCCGAAACTAAACCACCTTCGTCATAAAGCCCATCCACTTCAGCTTCGCCTTCTTTTCTGGGTTTTCTCTTACTTCTCGAACAATATCTCCGATTCGTGGAGTAATTTGATATCCGTCTTTTCCCTCCCTTGCTGGTGAACTTGCGCCCGCGGCCGTTTATATTAAGTCTAACAAAATTCCCTTCGCCACCGCATTTCCGCCGTTTCAGAGGTAGTGGTACATTGCCTCCTATAGAATTAGGATGTTTTCTTAAAGGTTTAGTAGAATTACTGAGATGAGCAGATTCGTTATTAATGTCCAAAGGAACGGCTTCAGCAGAGCTCTCCCCACGCTCATTGCGATCACCATTGTTTCCAGTCTCAGGCCGTGAAATTGATAGAGAAGGCTGCACTTCATCTTCTTCGGTAGTTTCTATATTGACCCGTCGCACCTTCGAGAAAGAGAAAGTTGCCCAATTTGCAAAATGACCTTGCCGAAGAGTTTCCGTGGAATTGGACGCCGAGGGACCCAGGTCTCGATCAGAAGGGCGACGAATCTGAATAGGTACACCGGGCAGCGTTGAGAAATCAGCGGAAGGGAAAACCCTTGGTGGCGGATCATCATCAGGTTCTTTAGTTTTGGTTTCGGCTTTGGTTTTGGTTTTGGCTTTGGTTTTCAGGGGTTTCTGCCTTGAGGAGACGGGCTTCTGTCTTGAAATAGAGTTTGTGCAAGACGAAATCCCGTGCCGATTAATAGTAGATTTTTTGAGAGGAGAAAGATGATGAGCTTGTGAAGCTTTTGGATCTCCTCTAGGCGGAGTTGCAGAGATGTGAGAACCATCGGAGTCCGAATCGGATTCCATCGTTGTTCTGGGGAAAGATGGGAGGTACCAACAGCGCGGCGTGACGCTTTTCCCGCCAAATAATGTGCACGAAGATTTTTATATATTTTTGATACAGGGGTTGTTTGGCAATGTCTCGTTTGAAGTTGAAACTCCAGCGCGACATAAGCAATTGATTTTAACGCTAAAAGCATGTATCTGATAGAACAGATGAGTTCGGATCTGGTCCCCAACGTAGGGTCCCAACAACCAGTTACAACAGTCTTTACAGCCGTGCATTGGGAATATCTCGCTATAAAGATAGAGGAGATATTCCAATGGCAAGGTAACGCTTAACTAACCTATTTAAATCCAATGGGTCAGCATACAGAGACCGAATCTGCTTCACACAACTGGCGCCTCACAGATGCCTCACACGCACATCCTATCATGCATTGGAAACATCTCACAGACATTCCTAATGCACGGTGGATGTGCCTGTGAGGCGCCCATATGAGGAGCTCATTTAGAAACCTCAGGGTATGTATTAAGTGTTCTTTACCCTTTTAAAAACCGTTATTTTGATGATTTAAAAACATAAATTATTTTGAAACAAAACCGAACTTGTGGGCTCCATGTATTTAATAGACATGGACCTTATCATTGGTTACACAGCCCATTGAACGGTTAAACCTTACTCAATTCAAGAATACATTTCAAATTTTTCTTTTTGTTGATACGATAATTTCAAAAATAAACAAAGAAAAAAAAAGAAGAATAATTGTTCAGTCCATCGCCAAAATTATTAACCCCACTGTACAATTAGAGTAGGTGCCAACTTGGAATTGATATCAAACACGGACAGGTGATGTTTAAGGTTAGGAATGGCAACGGGGCAGGGCAGGGACAAAGAGCCTCTTCCCATCCCTGTCCCGCGAAAATCCCTATCCCTACTAACGGGGACAAGGTTATCTCCATCCCCACAAGGATCCCCATTCCTCGTGATTTTTTATAATATTAACTATTTTGTTTTTATTTTTTTTTATTTAAAAATAAATAAAAAATATAATTAAAATTTACAATCCTCTTAAAAAAGAAATAAACATATTCAACCATATTTAATATATATATACATGGGATCCCATGGGGCAAGGATCGGGGTCCCCGTGGGGCGGGGAGTGCTCTCCCTGTCCCCACTAACGGGAATGAAAATTTCCCCATCCCCGTCCCTGTAAAGAGGAGGGAGAATCATCCCCATCCCTACCCCATTCAAGGCAAATCCCCACGGGGATTGAAGAAATGGAAAAATTTGCCATCCTTATTTAAGGTGGGGGGTGTTTGACATTTTGAATTGTTATAGGTTTACAGTGGAATTCAGAATTATACAGTGAGGTGCAGTATACTTTTCGAAGAAAATGATGTTCTAGAACAACGCTCAACGCTAATTCTAAATGAATGACCTAGTTTCCATGTTACTCTCTTAAGAAAAATTGAAAGAATAATGAGGGACCAAAAAGAATCTGGTGATATGATAAAAAACAAACCTCTATTCCTCTCGTGATATCACCCCAAAGACAACAAAAACTTTACAAGATTATGTCACCAACATGACGTGGTGTTTCTTACAAATAAATGGAACGAACTGAAATTGATAGGGCATCATCTGCCCTGCAAAACGTAAAAACCTATAAAATACAAACACTCAGCATCCTTGGATATGCCCGAGGATAGAAATTAGAGAGAGGGGAAGGGGAAGAAATAGTTGCTTAGTTCCCCCCACCTCCCCGCACGCAACAGATGGTCAATCCCTTACATCACTGCACAGTTGCACTTGGATTCTAGCTTTGGAGGCTTTGTGCTGTCAACCTTGTTCGGAGCCCCTGCGTCATGCGCCCAGGATTCATGGGCTTTGACATCAATTTCAACTTTGGCTGATGGGGTCTGAATGTCAGATTCCACCCGCCTCTGTCTGGCTTTCTGAGATTTTGGTGTGCGTTTGTTACCAGTCCTACCACGAGGATCTTTCCTGCCAGAACTGGATTTTCCCAAGATGGTGACAGTTGGGCGGGAACCCTCTAGAGGAACTTTGTCCTCCTTTTCCATTGCGACAGTTGCAGCCCGATAAGCCAGATCATGAACGATAGAGCTGCAGAATAGTATGGTGTCAGTTGCTTCTTCCAATGTGAGACTTCTTGTTTTATGTCCTCCTTGGCCCTCCACTGTGACAGTCGATTCTTCTGTCAAAAGTAAAGGATCCGTCAAGCAATATATTTATATAACCTCTCTCTCCATATGAAAGATCCTATAGCCAAATCAATATTGCAATGGTAATAAAAAGTACAAACAAACTATGAAGCTGCAATAGGAAATACAACATGGCTCAAGAGTTCAAATAGAAAAGCTTATTTAAATCACTTGCAGTTATATGAGACCATTTGATTTGTGAAGGAAAAGGGATTGTCCAAAAGATACGGGAAAATAGATGCTTGCTTATCTGATCTTCACATTCTTTGTTATGGATACATTGAATGCAAGATCATCAATTGGAGGAATTTCCCTGCACTGGCATCAGTTAAGCATCTATTGGTCTACAGAGGGGAACCCAATATACTTAATTTTTATTTTAATATGAAGACCATATTAGCATGTCCAGGAAATCAATCAGTTATGCACAACTCAATTTCAATGGTAACGGTTGAATTATGAACCTATATACCAGATTGATGGAAATCCTTCAATACAATCAGAAATGACTTCTCCTTCCTGTATTAACGAGAGAAATGACTATGTCCATCATTGTAATCGCCCTTTTATGCCTTCATCATTGTACTTGCTGTTTTTCATGGATAGAAACGACAAGAAATTTTAATCCGTCTCTTGTTAAGAATTCCAAGGAAAAAAAAAAAACTCTTGAAGCTATTCCTCCTAAAAGTAGAAACTTATAAAAGCCCCTTTAAGCTTCCTTAACTTGTCAACTATTCCATTATTCCAAACTTCAAAGTTAACCATTAGATTTTGAAACAACTTAAATGGCTTGCTTCCTAATGGTTGCCTTTCACCAACCCCTTTATTGGAGCAAGAGTGCCTTCTTGGCAGGTCAAATTGTGGATGCAGCAGAGGTACCACTGGTGTAAAATTTTAACTATAACAATACCAGTGTGCATCTCTTCATTCCCTCAAGTTGGTGCAAAGATGCATTACTGGTAATAAAAAGATGTTGCCACACCCAGAATTCCTTCAATGTCATCTCCAATATCATAGATAGTTGAAGTAATTTCAACTTACCCTTTCATAATCAAACTCTTGAATTACACCAAGCCATGCATCATCTATGTTAGTTCTTATTCACTCCCATGTCTGCATTTGATCTAACCTTATATGACCAGATCATGAAATAGAGCTGAAGTGGACTCAAAGAAGAAAATGCCAAATTTGAGAAACTTCACAGTATTGGAGCATTGATCGAGCACATATTATGTATGTGCATGTACATATGCATGTATACATGTGGGTAAACAGATGGATACATGCATACGTATATCAATTACATATCTATCTATTTATCCCCCCCCTCTCTCTCTCTATCCATATAGATAGATAGAGAGAGAGAGAGAGAAGAGATGCAAATGCACATGCAAGAGAGCAAGAGAGTGGGGAAAGAGGAAAATAAATGGATTTGATTTTTAACATGGTGGTCAGGACATGAAGCTAAGTATTGGCATTATATACACATACACACAAATGGGGCCTTGATGTTGTTGAGGTTTTAGACAAATTGTGTAGTCTATAGTGGTAGTTTTTTATTATTTATTGTTTAGATAGGAAGTGGGGACCACAGCACTCTTGTTGGGTCCTTTTTGAGCAGTTATTTTAATTGTTTTATGCTGTTTTATGTGTTAGCCGCCCTATAAGGGCATATTGGTCTTTGTACTCTATTATTTTAGACTATAAATAATAGTGAAGAGGGCGGCCAGCATTATTGAGCTATTGCTCTCTTTTCTCTCTCAAATCTCTTCTCTTCCTTTTCTCCTTTCTTCTCTTCTTCTTCAAGAAATATTCTTTTCTGTTATAGATCTTTATTTCAGCACCTTTCTACTGGTTTGATGGTAAAATCTTGGACTGACAAGTGTGAGAAGATGAGTTTGAGTATGAAAGCAGCAACTTTTTACCAATAAAGAAAGAAAAAAAAAAGCTAGGTCTATGTCCAATCCACCCCTCTTAAGACCCCAGATAGTTGGGACCAAAACTGGGTAATGACCTTTTTATAGGAGAGGGAGAATGCACTTAACCACAGTGATTTCAAAATCAAAATAGGACACCATAGAACAGCATAGGTGGAGGGAGGCGGCCTTTTCCTTTCCCTTTCCCCCAACCAGAGAATTGGACTATTTAATTGTTAATGGCAAACTTAGCAGATTGAGGTCCAAGTCCAGCACCTGCATAGGCTGAGTCCTAGATATCAATATCAAATGCATAATATTTCTCATTTATGGAGGACAGCTCAAGATGCCCAAGAAGGATATTCACAGTGATTTTTTTGGGAAAGATCAACGTTAGGAAAGGGTGATCCTGTACAATCAAATCCCACAGGAAGTTTCTTCAATATGAAAAATTGGCTGTAACAATTTCCTACTCTGTTCCAGGTATTACACCTGATGTTATCATCATTATCAACGTCACTGTCTGCCTTACGAATCCTGACCCACCTATATGAGGTTGACTGCATGAATCTTGTTTCTATGTTCTGCTCTACCATTGACCATTTAAGTAATGAGGCAAGGAACTATCAAAATAACCAAACTCAAGTCCCTTTCTGCCCTTTGCGTTGTCTTTTCTTATTCATCTGTTTCTTCCTGTCTTTTCAAAACCTTCAGTGGCATGGCAACAAATTACTCTTCACTGACTAATGAAATAATGAAATACTATATCCTTAACCAATTTTTTTCACAATCTGGTTCAAAATTTTTTGGTCATTTCCAGAATCCTATATTATGAGGCAGGTTACATTTATGCAATTAACAATAACCAGTTAATAGCTTATCTAAGCTCTTGTGAAGTATCCTAAAAACCATCTTTTTTGTCATTAACATTGGAAATTTTATTGACGATAATAATAAAAGAATGCTATGTAGTGAAGATTGACCCCTTTTGTTATCCTAGCTACTGCTACATGCCCCATACTTGTCAATTACGATATGAGTCAGCCATGCTGTTTGCTGACCTATGGACCCAAAGAAAGATATCAACCTACCACTACTGCTACTACCCAAAAAACCATCTTCACAAAACACGAATAAAAAATAAAAAGAAAAATAAATAGCCCTTTTCCCTTCTCCCCGCATATAACATATGGAGTGATTTAATAGATATAAAAAAACTTTCATCTCTAATTTAAAAAAGAGAAAGGTAATTTTCTATCGATTAAGTGGATAATTTCAATGCATCTAGACTCAAATCCATATTCTCACTATTGTCAGCCTGAGATTTTACCATTTGACAATAGTGAGAATATGGATTTGTCTGAGAGTGACCCCTTGCGCAAAATAAATGCCAAAGGTTAGATCTATATCCAGTCTACCCCTCCCAAGACCTCAGATAGCTGGGACCAACATTGCGTAATGTCCTTCCAATAGACAAAAATACCAAAACTAAATCTGCCTGTTATGCAAAATAAATATTTTATTTGTGCAAGAAATTAAATATGCATACTATTTTATTTTTCAATAACAAGTAGGAAACAGGTACATCTATGTGCAAGCAAATTAGGCTAATGTATTTCCAAAGCCCATAAACATTATGATCATGCCAGTATAACCAACTAGCTTTATGAAATTTTATGGATCCCACCACCCAGGACATACCACATAATACATTTTATAATCCATATTATTTTAATTCAATTATACCTGCAGCCCATAAATGTATTCTTTAGTTAAATAATCAGAAAATATGGCAATCAGGTAAACCCAAGGCTATACTGGATCTCTTTGTTATCAAAACCCTTACCCTAAGGGGACCTGATGAACCCACACTCTTGGATGTTAAGATAAGAGACTTTTGTAATGATTGTTTGCAACTTGGTGAAAAGATGACAGTAGAATGACTTCATGAATGTAGAAATACACCATTATTTCTCAAACACTACTGAAGCACAAAAGACTTTGTAATGATTGTTTGCAACTTGGTGAGAAACAAATAAGAGAATTGTGCACAAAACTGGAATACAAAAGAGGGGCATGGATAAGGGCAGGGGTAGCATCCTACTACCAAACTGAAAATGAAAAAGGAGAGGTCAATGCATTCAACTGCCCCTTTCAATTCAAGCAAAGTCAAATCTTTAATGAGAAAATATAAAACTGAGGAAGATGAATTCAGTTTGCATTGGACGTCCTTGCATAATATTTTCTCACATGTCAGCCTTAGCTCCTTAAAAGATCAAGCGCAACCTGATTGTGTAACTAGCTTTTTCCACTAAATTTCAATGCTTCAAAGTGACAAATGAAACAAAGTTATCTGAAATTCTAACATTTCATCAAACTTCCATGGCATTAATTATTACATATATGTAATTATATTAATATGTGTAATAGGCACCTTTTACAGCTAAAACTTATAGTTTCTTTTTCTTCTTTTTTTTTTCCTTTTTTTGTGGGGGTGTATGTATTGGGCTGATACGGCCCAATAAATACCCAACGAGGTCTGATACACGGAACATGTAGAACTCACATGTTTCACTATTTTTTGTGTGTATCAGGCCAATACGGGCCCATATTGGATCATTTTGGGTCTGTATCAGCCGATACTACAAGTGTATCAGTTGGTTTCATGTTTTCAAATTTGAACTTGAATTCCTATTTTTAATTTCGTTTCTCTCTCTCTCACTAATTTCAATAATTACTCCTCAACTACAAGCCATTAATCATTCTCTCTCATTAGTTTAGGAAATTAATCCTTAATTACAAGCCATTAATACTCTCTCTCATTAATTTAGGTAATTAATCCTTAACTACAAGCCATTAATCACTCTCTCTTATTAATTTCGGTAATTACTCCTTAAAGCACTTTTAAAAACTATAAATTTTAGCAATAAGAAGATTTGAACCTTGATTAGTAGAATGTAACAGTCATAAGTCCACCACTAAGGCATGCCCCATTTGCTTGTCATAATCATATGAGTTTTATTCTTAGGTAAAACTTTCTCTTTTCTTAGCAGATGTTTGTCAATAAATGCTAAAATTAATTATTAAAATTTATATATTAATAATGATTAAGATAAATTATATTGGTTTTCTGAAAACTAAGGTATATACATTGACATTTTAGTTCTTCCATCATTTTTCAACAGTTACTAATTGTATCCCAATATCTCACACTTTATATAAACCATTAAAGTATGGTTCTCTATGTTTAAATAACTTATTTATAGTTATATAAAACTTTTATTTATTGTTATAAATATAATTATTAAGATTTATTTGAGTTTCCTAGTGTATCCATGCATATCTTGATTTTTCATCCGCATCCATGTGTATCCAAAGTGTATCCCAATACGTCTCTTAAAATTGTCTTTCTGATACACCTTGTGTTTCCCATACTTTGAACCTTGCATCCTGGTTTATTCAGAAAAATAAAACAGCACAGCAAGATAGAGATACCAAATTAATTAAGAGAAAACAAAATAGGAAAAGGTTCATCATGTAGGAAAGACATACCAAGAATGCCATGACCATGATCAGAGATATTGGATTTATCCTCATCTGGGTTTACAAGAACTGAGGACTCCAAGAATTCATCCATGATATTCTTTGCATTTGAGGAGAGGGCATAATCATTTTGTGGACCAGGAGTACACTCGTGGCCGTTTTCTAATTCTCCAGATATGCTTACTGAAGAGTCATGACCAGGATCATCAAAGCCACAGACACTGTTATCATTTTCCTCTCTGAAGGAGGATTCTAGAGTGTGAGCTTGTACATCTATCTCTGAGACACCCCTTGTTTTGTTTGGGAAGTCCTCAGCAATCCCAGATGAAACACAGTCCTCATCAGTTGGAAATGTTGCTAATGAAGCGTCCTCTAATTGAATGCTTAATCTATGGCTTGATAATTCTGAGACAGAAGGATTGTCTGTTCTGCAACCCTCTGTGCCCTTGATCATAATGTCTTCAAAAACAGCAGGTTTGACAAAAGATGAATCCACAACAACCAGTTCAGCAACTTGTGAAGCTATACATTCCTCATTAGCAACCAGTTTCATCCCCTCCAAAGCCTTCCATTCCATATTTCCACCAGACACATCAAAACTTTCTTCACTTGTTCCCTTGGCAACAATTTGATGTACATGATTTGAGATTCCAGAGGAAGAGGATCCAGTGCTTTGAGATTTTGTGTTCAAATCATGCCTTAAATTCTCCAAGTCAGTTTTCCTGCCACTTAGCTGCCTATGCACACGAGCCTCTGTCTGTCTGGAAGAACTCCAATCAACAGATGAAGATGCTGAAGCACTTCCATGCCCAATTGAGCTTCTCATACTATTGGCACTCTCCCTTGCATATGAGGGATCATCATAAGGTATGCTGGAAGCAGAGAAAGTCCTCCCTTGAACAACAGGCCACTTACTACTACTTGAGCTTTTCAAAAGTACAGAGATACCTGCACCTTCTGAAACATCAAATTTTAAGCTTGGATGGTTATTAGGGTGCTGCAATTGCTGGTCTGCAATGTCACTGTTAGATTGGTTGAAACCAACTGTTGTCTGGCCAACCATTTCTAGATGATTATTAAAATGCTGCAATTGCTGGTCTGCAGTGTCATTGTTAGATTGACTGAAAGCACCTGTTGTCTGACCAACCACTTCCTGATCCACAGAATGCTGCTTCCCTTCCTCCACAACTGATCCTGGAAGAGAATTACCTTGCAATAAACTTTGAGATTGATAAATATTGCAACTCTCATCTTGCACAACATTCTTTTCACTCTGAACAGCCATGGCTTCTCTCCTGCTAGGACTTTCTGGCAATTCAGATACTTCCATCTTAGACCTAACTTCATTTAAGAAATTATTTTCTTCCAAATTCATCTCAGAGTGAACTGTGCTGTTCTGAGACACAAATTTTGTGCTCTCTGTAACAGCCAGAGTGAGAGATATAGCCCTCTCACGGCAATCTGGACAATGATCATCTTTCACCTCCATAGGCTCAATGCAGTGAAATTTGTTTCCACAGATAGAACATGATACCAAATTTTCTTCAAAATAAACTTTTGTGGGGTCAATTTCTGCATAAAAAGGTCCAGAAACAGTTGGGGCAACTGCAATATCAGCATTAAGACTGCTAAAAGTTTCAGATTCACCTGACTCAACTCCAATAGAAGTACCTCTATCAAAATCAACAATTCTTCCATCATGGGTCCCATGTTCAACATCTTCTTTTACCTCATCCACCTTATCAAAGATAAATACTTCATCTTGGCCATCAGGATACGGGGATTTTTCACATTCACTTGTCATCTCATCCTGCTCATGGTCACTACCCTCAGTATCATGTACAATACTTGCACCTCGTTCAGAGCTTGCATTACTACTAGTTGTAACCGAAGAGTTTCTAGAGATCATAGGTCGACTTGCAGTGTTTGATTTCCCAATATAGAAAGTGGTACTGGGAACACTGGATAAGAGTGGCCTGAACATATTTTGAGGACTTTTCCGATGATCCTACATTTTTCTTTTTTGGATCAGTAACAATATAAAAAATTGCATTAAAAAACTGAAATATACATGACCTCTTCCAAAAATGGAAAGAAGGACCAGAATGGCACCAGTAGCTGACAAAATTAACTTGGAGCAAAACATTACATAATTTTTCAAAGATTCTGCATTATAACTTAAAATTGTCGAATGTGAAGCAAAAATATAATTTTCTATATCTAAGTAATCCTATGTTGGTGTTTCTTTGATTCATTAAAGATTCCACTCTGCAAATAAAGTTTTGTGGCCAATAATATTCAGTCAAAACAGTAGGTTGTATCGCAACAAGCATCAAACTTATCACAAACCAAGTAGAAAACAAACAAAAAGAATAAGAAAAAGAAAAGGCTTAAGTGAAGCATATTGGTAACAGAATGCCAAACCATATTTACATGCATGCAGTAAAAATGTGGACTTTCCCAGATTTTTGAAGTTCAAAGAGAAAACACTAAGCTACAGGACCTATACTTGATTAAGCACTGAACTACCCTTAATTATTCTAGCATTAGGAAGTTGACCAAACTTAGCTGATAAATAAATAGAGCATTCAGAAATCAATAGCCCAGAAATATACATAACATTTGACTTGTATGGGTTACCTTGTTCCTTTCCCAACATATATTGAATTGAGCTTAATTTTAATAATTTTAAAAGGAAAAAGGATGCATAAAATTAGAGTCCAAATTAAATTAACTTAATCATACTGAGAAGGAAAATATTCCTGTAATTGAAAACAAAAAGTTAGCATAAAGCTCTGTTCGTAGAGAAGAAAAATACCATTTGCCGAAGTGCAGAATCAAATGATCTTTTTGGCACAGAACTCGAGGAAACTGTTCTGGCAGGCTTATTTGAAAATGCCAGAGCTCTGCTACTTGGAAAGGTTCCAACCTTCTTAACAGTTGAGTGGTCAGAGATACTCAGAGGGACAGAGTGCAGAGAGTCTATATCATCATCACCAGATGATGCCACAGAACCCTTACTCTGCGAGCTGAGTCTATCCCGATCATGACTATGTGATGAACTTATACTTCTTGAAGCTGTTGGTGACATTGATTGCCTTCCAAGCTTCAACGATCCATCCCTCCCATTCCTAGATGCTGGAGAAGATCCTCTCACATATGATGCTGGCCGGTCGGCTAGAGAAGTTCGAAGATTTGGAGGTGCATCCGTGGAGAAACCTGGCATATTTGATTGCCACGCCCGTAGTTTTGGTGAGACAGAACTCCCACGACTAGACTTTACAGGGGAGGTTCCCCTTCTCCCGGATGAAACCATATTACCACTTGATCCTGTGCTCATCCTCCCGGGAGTAGGAGTAGAAGACCTCCGAGGAGTGGGAGTTGAAGACCTTGGAGCAGCCGTTGATGGCTTATTTGGGGGAGTGGATGGTCTTTGCGATGGTGTAGTTGGCCGTAGAAGAGGAGTTGGACTAGAATGAGGAGCTGAAGAAGGCCTTCCTCTTGACTGAAATGTGCCACTTCCAGACCGAGGTGATGGGCTTAACCGATTAGGGCTTGCACTACTTCTATTGCTCTTGTAACTCTTCTCCATCTGCAAGGAGACATATATCATCAAGATCAACAGAAAACTAATAAAGAAATTTAATTTGGAAATATTTATCAAAAAAAAATTAATTTGGAAATATAACTTTCAAGGACATAAACGAGAGAAGGGGGAAGGTGTGAATGTTTTCAAGTTAAGACATTTAACAGCGCACCGTGGTTGATCTTGATATGGTAATGGGCTGACTTCGTGGTCTGCCCCTCGAGGCAAGATTAACTGGTGGAGGAGTCTCATCATCCAATGAAGGAAAAAGAGGAGTATCTGGAGGAGTTAATAGCCTATAGTTCAATCAATAACACCAAAAATCACATCAGTACCACGAATAGTGAGTTCAAACAAAATTGTGGAAGATTGCCAGCACACAATTCCAGATATAACTTAAAAAATATTGGGTACAATTCTCTACTTTCTGCTCTGTTGAATTGGGAACCACAGGCAAGTTTTGTGAAATATTTTATAAGAGAAGGCAAATTAACAATATGATTAAAAGGATTAAAAACAATGGCTATGGCGCTTAACAAAATGGAATGGTAAAACAAGATTCATGTTTTTTTTTTTTTGATAAGTGGACAAGAATTCAATTATGATGATGTTTCTTGATTAAAAGAGCAAAAATCAAAGTAGGGGAGAACAACCTACCAGTCATAGTCATTTTTATCACCATCTGCATTAAGGAGGTCACTGCTCTCTCCTAGAGCTGGAATTGAGATTCCTAGCTTGAAATCTGAGAAGGATCTCAATTTTGTTGCTGTTAAAAATAAATCCAGAATAAGAATAAACACATGATATTAAATCTGTCCTTTTAAACCAACTAGAGAATTCATACTAAATAGATGGGCCAAACACTGAAACTAAGATGGAGGTTAGGTGCTGAAATTACACAAGGATTCATCAAGATCATCAGATGACTGAAGCAAAAAATTGTCCCTTTCTCTGGCTTGCATCTCAGTGAACAGAGCAAGGTCGTCATCCTTTTCCCTCAGAAATAATCCGCTCTCAAAGCTGCGTCCTCGCTTGTGAGTCTCTGCTCTGAGCTCCCTTCCAGGAGAGAATCTCAATGCTGGAGAAGGAGGCATTTTCACCACCCAAACTTAGACAGAAATGCTCCAATCTGACTTTTCCATAATACAAAATATCAAATCCCGGTTCATGCACATCCTGCTCAAATTCGTCTTAGCTTAGAGCACAACCCTTCTTACAGATAAAGTAGAATAGATGATAAAAGCACGGATTAGGATCAAATCCGTTCGGAAATTTCCTAATTATTAATTCCTCTTTGAGTGACCTCGATAGTATCCTCGTACAGTCCACCAATTAAAAACATCCAACCGCAAAATAGCGTACTTCCTTGCAAGCATGGTTGGCAAAATGAACTCAATGCGTTTCTCTTTTTTCTCTCAAGGATCGCAAGGTTCCATTTTGTCAAATGGAACCAAAGCCTGAGTCTCGGTGGGAAAATAACGATACGAAACTTCCCTCTTGCTTGGGTTGGAAAGGCAGAAGCCGCAGAACAATAATGCCGGATAGTAAGCTCTAAGGAGCAAATAATTACGTACCTTCGTTGCTGTAACAAAACCCTAGCTCCTGCTAGCTCCGCATTGAGAAAACCCTAGAATTTCGCCCGCAGAGATCCCAATACCGCCTCACAGCGTGAAGACAAACCCTACTATATCTAAATTCAACAACCTCTTAAACGTCAAATTGCAATCCAATTTAGTGAAGAAAAAGAAAACAGCAGCAGTTGCTTGCACATAGACTCGAAACCTTGAAACTCCATAATGTAAAACCGTAAATGCAGGCGCATTATCTCACAATTCTTCTGAAACCCAGAAAAACCAGAAATACTGACTGAGAGCGTGTCTAGAGATAGCTCGACAACGGTTTTTCTTCCTGAAAGCACCGGCGGTCTCGTCGACTTACCGCTGCCGAAGTCAAAGATCATTGAACATATTCTCCATCTCGTCCTGTACGATTAATTAAGATCCCGAATTTCGACTGTATTTCTAGCAGAAATAATCCAAGCTCTCAACTATTAGTCTATTACGCGGAAAATGCAGATTCAAATACTCGGATCTACAGCATTTGGTGAATTGATCGATAAGCAACAACAATTAGATCGGAGAGAGGAAATGGAAGAAGTTGCAAAAAACCCTAATTCTTAAAAGAATTCTCCTCCCATAGACCAGATAAATAAAGAAAGAACGAACTTGTGTCAGAACAACTGGCCTTTTGAGACTTGCCGGTTTCCTCTAGAGCAAGCTTTCATTCTCTCCCAGCTTCTCTGCTGTGCGATAGTATTTTTTTTCTCCCCTTTTTCCGTTTTTTTCTTTAGTTTGTCCGATAATTTAAGCAGAAATTTACACAAATGCCACTGAGATTCTATTGTGTAATGACGATAATTATCAAAAACTTTGTTTATTAACGGTAAGAGTTGTAATTATGCTTGTGTGTTTTCTTGGTACTTGGTAATAAGGCTCGGGATTGATGGAGTCCGAACCACCTGAGCTGACTTTTACTGGAGGAGACTGGAGAGAACTGAGTAAGCTCTCTCCCCCTCTCACTTTCTCTCTCTTTATATATGTCTGTTCTTTCCCCCCTGCGTTTTCGCTTTTACACGTGAGGGTGAGGCGGTGAAGTGCTCCTTTTTGGATCCCGACGCTGGAATGATAATGTGGTGCTGGGAGCAGTAAAGATGGTGATACACCTCACCATCTGATTGGATAAACTATCTTTTCCCCTCTCTCAAGTTTTGATGGAGGGAAAGAGGAAAGAATGGTAAGGCTACAGATAAGATGTTGAGTGTCAGTTGATCATCGGCGGATGCGAAAGTCTCCCTTTTTTCTCCTTTTGTACACGTGAAATTATACGACTACATGAACGTGCATATCGAGAGATGAGGAGCGTTGGATTCCAAAGCCTAATTCGTTTCGGTGGTGTGATGTTTGATGATATAATTGTAATGTCCACGTGGATAAATACAAGCAGGTTTAGGGAAATTTATATTTCCACTCTCATAATTTTTTTTTTATTGGTTTTTATAAACGCGCCATGTAGTTATGATTGTGTTATGTAAAATCTACCATTATTATAATGAAATTTTGTATGATGTAGGCCTGTTTGGTTTACGGGATTATCGATCTGAAATTAGAATTTTAATGGATCATTCCAATTTTAACTGTTTAATTAAGCAGAATCAGAATTCCATACTCATTTTTTGAGGAATAGCAGGCATTCCCATTATTTGAGGAATGGTCAGTTCCCCCTTCTCCTTTGAGAGTGAAATCTCATTCAACTGATTCAATTCCCATTTCTATTCCGATTCCAACTACAAACCAAATGGACCCTAAAATGTTTTTTTCCTTTATCTACTTTACAATCCAATAACAATGGTTTGTAACTTAAAGGTACAAGGTTAATAGTGATGAGGGCAGTCCTAACTCAATTTAACTTTTTTTTTATATGCTTGAATTCCATTTTGTTTATTTTTTACTTAATTTCTGATAAACTATTCATGCTTTTTATGCTTAAATTTGATAGATTGAGGTTCAACGATTTAGCACCATCTTGTATAAGAGGGGCAAAGTTATATTATTTTGGGAGTATCATACTAATTAATTATACCATATTAGATTTTTTCCTTCAAATTTAAAATTGTTAATGCATGCATACATACATATTTATACATAAACAAAGAGATGTCACTTGTTAGGTTTTGATTGGATTGCATTTGCCAATATCTAAACCTTAGTCAAAATTAAGTTAGATTTATATTTTTTAATCCTAACCCAACCTATCTTTTTCTATCTCAATTTCTTTTTCTTTTCATTTTTTTGAAGGGTTGTCCCAAGGGTGTATTCGAGCCAAGTCGACTTGAGTATTAGGCTAATCGAGCCAATTTGATTATAAATTATAATATCAAAAAAAATATTTATTTATATTACAAATAAAATAATATTTTATTATACTCCTGACCATACTTGCAAGCCGCTCCAACTTGACTTGTCTAATTATTTAACTTACTTCGAGTTCAACTCCAACACCATTATCTGCTATTTAAGGAACTGAGCTCAAATAATTCATGAGTGGGTTTGACTTGTTTACGGTTTTACATCTCTAATTTGGGCTGACCCAGCCCAAGTTGCTTCCTTGTGAGCTCACTGGAATTGGTTTAGTTTTATACATACCAACAACCAAGTCATTATTCAATGGAGATAGGATTTGGTAGACAGGTTGGAATTATATTTACATCACCAAACTCATTGATGATAATCTTGAGTTCAGTGTCTAAAGTAGGTGGAAACTAAGACTCGACCGTTGTCACATCGCCAAGTCACTTAAAATTCATACATCAACTCTGTTAGGTGCTTCTAAAAGAACACTTTGGTAGGCATTACATTACAACCACGTAATGCATCCACTTTATTCTTTGAACCTGTTTTTGCTTTATCCACCTAGCGCTAATAGAAAGTTGAATTGAAACAACTACGGAATGGATGAGCGACGGGATAGATTGGGATGAATCAAAATTTCCAGCCATATAGCAGCTAGCTGACCCTAACTGTGTAAGTCCGTAATCGCCAAAGAGGGGAACATGTGGGGACAAACTGAATCAGGAAATTATCTCTAAGAACTTACATTAGTTGCACGAGCGAATCATGCCCTGCTGACTGCTGTTTTCTCTCCCTTTCGAAAACGAAAAAAAAAAAAAAAAAGAAACAAGAAATTAAAAGTATGGATTTGGGTTACATCGTGAAGATTGCCTTCTTCCATCCGATCCAAATCTAACGGTGAACAAAGCACGCCTCAATATGAACAAAGATAACGTTCCTTCACACTTGGATTCCTAAATATTCTTATCATATTGTATTAAAATAGGACGAGAAGTTCCAATGTACCATATATATATATATATATATATATATAATGCGATATACTTGTAAGGATGGCAAGCGTTGACACGACCCACACACCAAACCTCTTTTTTCAGAATCGGATGGGCTCACCGCTCACCTCCAAATCGGCCAAACTCAAGTGGGGCTACGATTTTATACCTTTTCGCTGTATGACTCGACCTAATTCGTCATCTCTCTCTTTCCCTCTAACAGAAGCATAATTTAGAATGGACGTAGCGATCAACTTTAATCCGTCGCCAAAGGAGATTAAATTCTCTTGATTGTGGATCAAGCCAGGTTTTTTATAAGGAGTAGGGACTACCACCAACAGAAAGTTGTGGGTCCCGTCGTTTAAGTGTCCAGCTTTATAAATCAATATCCGATGGCCCATGTGCTTGGACTAAAAGATTGAAATTAGATTGCATCCTTCATCTTTGAAGCAACAAATACCAAATGTTATGAAAGGGAAATAACACTGATACTTCCAAGCCTGTATTATAAACTTTGTTTTGAATGTAAGGTTAACCAGCTTAGAAGGCTGGAAGCTTATTCACGTGGAATCTTATCTCATCTAATATATGTTTAGCATTGATGCTACAGATATAACATCATTTTCTGCAAATGCTGCAGATACATATATTAGAAAACTGTGTTATTGATATGTGGATTGAAAATATCATTTTTTGAAAAAATAATATCTTTTTTGTATTTGGAAAAGTTGTTGTTTTCCAATATTAATACTTTCTTTTGATACTAGTGTTCTGTCTATTTTCAGCACTTTTCTAGAACACTATTTTTTCCGATGTAATGTTGATATATCACCGTTTTCTGAAACAACAGCATCATTGCCAAACAGACGCCTAATCTAATCACCCCTACCTCTCTCTTATTGTGGTATCAGTCAATCAAATGTATACAAAATATATTGTATTTAGAAATATTAACACTTTGTCTTATTAAGGGCAATAACGACACGCAATAGTAAGGTTAGACATTTTTAGCTAGGGGTTGGTATTTGGCAATCCAGCTAGCATGAATGCTTGGACTCAAATACCATTGATCTTAATTGACCTATTTATAGCTAGCTAGCTAGCTAGCTTCGGTTCAGCCATGTATGACAACGAGACTTTTTTTTTTATTGGTAAATTTAATGATGAGGGTCTTATTTGAGGAAGGTCTAGAGAGAGATTTTATATATATAAAATAAAGCGGTCAAGAAACTTTCTTTCTTTTGAATTTTTATTCTTTTATTTTATATCATTTTTAAAGAATCAACGAGATTTACTTTCTCAATAAATTAAATAATTTCTTCTCCTAAAATTTCTCTTAAACTATCTTTATGGGTGGCAATTTTTCACTCAATTCGTTGAACCCACCCAACCCACCTAGTATCTAACCCGCCCATTTACTTGGTGGGTTGTGTGATCAACCCGTCACCCAATCTGCCCATTTAAATGGGTTGGGTTGGGTTGTAGATAACCATTCGTATAACCATTACAGACATTAATATTAATTCCTTAGCTTTTAATTATTGACTAAATTTAGTTTTGTCTTAATCAACACACTTCACCCAACATTAGGGTTGTTCACGAGTCGAGTTGGGTCGGTTTACTGAGGTTTTTCCAACCGACCTGACCTGGTCGGGTTACCTGAGATGGAAACCGAAACCAACCCAGTGTTAAGCAAAACCGACCTGGTCGGTTTGAGTCGGGTTGGGGCGACTTGAGGCGGTTTCGGCTCTAAGTTCATCCATGCCCCCCATGGCCACCTAGTTTTCTAGAAATATATTTAAAACTGAAATATGTATTTTAGATATATATATATATATATATAAACAAAAATATACATACAAATATATTGGAATATATATTTTCTGGAAATATATATCAGACATATTTCATAATATATATTTTTTAGATATAGATATTGGAATATATATTTTCAGATATTTCAGTTTTTAGTTAAGTAGGAACTAAGTCGGTTCGGTTCGAGTCGGTTTCAGTTTTCACACAAGAAAACCGAAAACCGACCCAAACCATCGGTTTATGAGTTTGTACAACCTGAAACCGACCGGTGCTGATGAAAACCCGGCCGACTCGGGTTGGGTCGGTCTGGGTTGGTCGGTTTGGTCGGGTTGGGCCTTCTTATGAACAGCCCTACCCAACATAAATCCAAATAAATTTGACTCAAGTCCAGACCAGTTCAACACGGTCTGACCTGATCCAACATATACCAATCTGGGTTGACCCGAATCCAAAATAGACCTCAAACAATGTGGTTCGATACCACTTGCTTTGCCCCGTTTGGATCCAACCATTAGTCACACAGCCCGACTCGATCCGGCACAAGCTGATCTGGGTCGAATCGAATCCGAAGCAGGTCAGACCGGGTGGGTCCGAACCCTAAACCGCCCTACTTGCTTGCCCGGTTTGGATCGTCCAGTTTGGCCCATATCCGTACAACACGACCCGAATCCAATCCGGTCCGATTTACTTCTTTTGACCCACTTCAGGCCAATCGGTTTGGGCCCAAACCTATGCACAAACCTTATATGAGCCAACCCAAGTCAATCCACCATTT